TGTAAAAGAGTTTCGAGCAAGAAAGGGTGAAGGACGGTGACGAAGGAACGGAACAAAACAGGGGGAGAGGGAAAAGTTCAGTTCATTGGTGAGCAGGCGAGTAGCCAGACCACCGGTGCTTTGCATCGGAATGTACCTTATTGTTGTCTGGTTTGCACAGCGCCGAACTCTTCTGACAGGTGCCATAAAGTCACCGAGCGAAGTTATGTCCAAACAAGACTTTGCCGGGAATAATAAAATCCTGCGCCCGTGCAAGCGTACACGAACGGAGCTCGCTTCTCGACCTCCTTTTTCTACCGAAATTGCCTCCTAGCGATATTCTGCGTTCTCCTTCTCGTTTAAGTAGGATGCGAAGCGATGATCGAGACGCTATTAAAATATCAAGTGCGTGCAAAAGTCCGAAAAGACGATTTTCATGTCGACAGTGTTGTCTTTTTTTCAATACATTCAAATAGAAATTGGTTCTATGTAGTTACTATTATATTCTGCTTCAACAGTATTTACGTAAAAGATTTGTAAATGATTTTTTGTTTTATTTTACTGAGTTATTAAGTATGTTGTTGCACGTTGTGAGTTCGTGAACAATGACACTGTAGAAAATTATTGATTTTTGTTCTAGGATATTTTATTTCAAGACTAGTTCAAGTCAAAATTAAATGATCGAATTCCATTTATAAACGAGTAGCTAATCAAACGAATTATCGATTATGGATTTTGTAGTCAATATCATCAGTTCTACTAGTAGATTTAAAATGTATTTAATGATCGAAAAAAATGATTCAGAAAGCTGGAAAATTTGCTGGGCACGTAGTATAACAAGATAGTTAAAGTTTAATGATCACATAAAAATCAATTCGACCGTGTCATAATGAACTGGTATGAGCTAGCTACTTGCACAATAATTACAGGGTATAAACTCAGTTTAGTTTCAAGTGACAACGCATCAACATAACAATTTTCTTCTTTATAGTTGCTACCTCAACATCGTTTCTTACTTTATTGCTCGTCGTGTGCAACTGAGTATTCATTTATTCATCGCACGCAGAATTTTCAGCTGAGATAGATTCCTTTTACAATCGGTGGCTCGTTACGTTCGCTCAAGTGTCAGCGAATTATTCTTACTTCTTCTTGTCATTATGGTTATTCTTTCCTCTCAGCTTCACTGCTGTCTATAGTTTTATAAGGCTTCGTTCCAAGAAGAGTGAGACGAGTGAGAACTCACTAGAAGAGTGAGATGTTCCTTCTCGGAAGATAAATTCCCGTTTTATTGTTCCCTTCCCTTGGCGTTCTTCTTTCCTGCCTCGTTACTAGTCGCTTGATCTTTCAACCGTTACATTATCCTTCTTCCAGGGATAACAGATTCTGACCGTGTACGTATTCTGCGAATTGCTTCGTAGCCTCCACCGGGCTCGTTTTCATTGTCTTTATCCCTGGCCAACTGCTTTTTCTCCGCCCGGTAATTGATTTCGTTATTGTTGCTCTCGGTGATGATCGGCTCGAAAAACTAACTAAGAAGAAGGAGCGGAATGTTTTGTCGTTCGTCTCTGTAAGAAAAGAATTCAGTCGCGATTCGCAAGTCCGAGCATTAGTCATTCGAGAGAAATGTATTTCTTGGTTCGTTCGGTTGGTTAAAAAAGAAAGAAAGAAAAGAAAGAAAGAAAAAAAAAACGTGCTAATCGGTCGGAGCATCGTGCAAATATTGGGGGCACTCGCGTTTCAACCGAGTCGGAGATTTTTTTCACGCTGCCTCGCACGCGTGCACTCCATATAGATTCTCTTTATCATCGGCAATTATCGACCATCGCAACGAGATGTTCAATAACCGGTCCATATAACCGTGAACGTGTATTCGATTAACATTAATACTAACCATTAAGGCGTTTGATGCTCGAAGAGAACGATATTCCGAAAGTACGAGCAATAAAAATACACTCGCTTCGAAGTGTTTTATAAGGCCTGTTGAATTTTTCAATTCAGCGTTGGACCAGAAATTTCAGAACCATTGAAACCACGTATATAATTGCAGTAAGGTTAAAGATCAAATTAATCAATCAACGAGGTAGCACCGCGAAGATTAGAACTTGTAACGAGCAAAGAAGTGCTCGAAGCTTTGCCGATGTAATCACGACAATCTGATTTCACTAGGGCTAATAAAATTTCACGACGCCTGGTGTAATACGTTCGCGAAAGGTGTCAAATACTTTCACGAGCCACCGTAGGCGGCGTTCGTCTTCGAGTTTTTCGAGGCGTGGAACACGCGCCTCACCTCTCTGTGACGCAGAGAGAGAGAATTTTTCGTCGGTGCTTCTCAACTCGAGAGTGCGTTCGACATCGCATGGATTCGAGAAGAAAAGGAGAGAAAGAAACGTAAAGGTGAAAAGGAAGAGGAAAAAGAAAAGAAGGAAAAAGAAGAAAGA